TAAATGTGTTTACAATATTATGGATGGCGTACATCAAATTTACTGTCAAATAAGAGAATATTTTTGATTATTTTAATGTATGTGTACACAACAAGTCAAAGACCAGATCATCTGTACAGTACGTTCATTTTCCAACAATATCTTGCCTTTCATTAGGCTCTTGGATAGTTACCGAAGTAAGGTGTAGACCGGCATATGTGTATAAAACGAATCTCTGGAAAGAACAGCCGATTGTGGATTTCGTTGGTTGACCTTTAGTAAGTACCTGGATTATACAATACATTGCAAAGAACAAGGACAGCAAGTAAGATTTTTATGTTGATATTCAAGCTTTTTTAAAATGCAAAACTACATTTGTTCTATTCATATTGTATTTAGTCTCTTGTGATCCCGGTTAAAAAAATCCTATAAAATGTTTCTGCTCTTAGTTTACAGGTACAGATGGTCATATCAAAATGACTTTTAGTATGCATGATTTTGTTGTCACAAATTATTAAACGAGGTTATTTTTCTAAAAAAGTATGCGTACATACTATAAAAGGATCTATGTTAGGTTATTTAAACATGTGTTTTTAAACTACATTATTTAATGACGTATTAACTTTTACCTTCTCTTCATATATAATTATATATATATATAGATGTGTGTGTGTGTGTGTGTGTGTGTGTGTGTGTGTGTGTGTGTGTGTGTGTGTGTGTGTGTGTGTGTGTTTGTAATAATATACAGTGGGCATACATAGGAAACACATAGATTAAACATATACTAACTTACAGTGTATACATATAAGAAAAACAAAGAATTCAACATGTACTAAGACAAGTTGGTACACGTGTGAAACACCAATAATTTAACATATACTAACTTACAGTGGGTACACATAGGAAACACACAAAAATAACATATTCTAACTTACAGTTGTTATATTTAGGAAATACAAAGAATTTAACATGTACTAACTTACAGTGGGTACACGTGGGAAACACAAACACATACGTATTCTAACTTACAGTTGTTATATTTAGGAAATACAAAGAATTTAACATGTACTAACTTACAGTTAGTACACGTTGGAAACACCAAGAATCTAACATATACCGAGACAAAGAAGTCACGCCTGGGAAACTACTGTTGATTCATGTTGGTAATAATAATTTATCATTTACAATCAAACTTCTTGTCAAAGTTTTTGACCATTCCCAAATCTTATTCTTATACATATTACTACTAACTGACCCTTTTATGAACCGAAGTTTTTTCACGGACCATAAACTAAGATAGTCAATGACACTTTATGATTCGAACAAAACATTGACCTGTACTGTACAAGTATTTTCGCCCCACGACAAAATTTCACATATTTCAATGAAACGTGCTGCCTGAATGGGTAAGGTATGTTGACTCTATAGTATAGTCACCATTCACCGATAATAGGTTTGATTTATTATTATTGATTAGTAGTATACTGATTCTACCAGGGATTTAATTGAGAAATAACATATTTCTTCGTGATACATGATGCTGGTCGTGTTTGATGCTCGTTGGTTTTCCCGTTGGTTCCTTTTTTGTATAATTTATTCTCATTTGAGAACGTGACATTACTTACTTGAATTAATTAATGCTTACAAATTGAGTGTCGTCGATAACGCAGGAGGCGCTTAATTTACCGGAACACCTGGTCTTTTAATCTTTATATCTTTTTCAGGATACACCGTGTAAATATGTTTTGGTTATATTTCTTAGTTTTGAGTTTGGATTGTCCTCGTTCTTCCCTTCCTGTAAATCATATAAACCACTATCAGGATCGTCTCTGTGTTTCAGCTTGTTATTGCTCCGGGTCAATCGGGTAAGTGGCCAAAGAACCTTATATAGGCTACGATTTAGGATATTAACATATATAACGATGTTGCTTGAGTTTTTAACATTGACAGCAGCATATAAAACTTAGGAAAATCTAGGTTTTGTATTTTTGTATTAAATATGTCTTCAAACATCCAATTGTACAATATATAACAATGCAACTACACATTTATATTACATAAATAACATTTGATTTAAACGTATCGTAGCAGACACTGCGCTTAAGGATACTAATCATCGGGTAGTAAGAAATAATATTGGACAAACTTTTTTAATCACGAGTTTATATCTGTTTAATCGTTCTTTCCCTGGGATATGTTTTCAGAAGATTATCTGTTTTAGTTTACATTGCGAGCAGGGCATTTACACCTTTCAATACAGCACTGATATTTCTTTAGCTCATCAACAGCGAGTACAACATTTTTTTTTTTTTTTCAATTCATAATAGACATATATGTTACCAGTACATTCTTAAATATCAGTCTTGTTTCCAATTGAAATTGTTAGAAATTAGATTTCGAAAATAAAAAACACAGGAGACTGTTGATTTAAAGAATGGCAATGAGATTGCAGAATTGCCATATATGTTTTGTCTGTTTTGAAGTATACTATAATAACTGTTTGTATTTATTTTCAATGTAGTATAGTTGCACAACACATTTCGGTTGATGATATAATTATGCAGTTTGTATGAACATTTGAAGAGATGGAAACATCTAGTCATAATGCCGTGCACATTAGTGATACAAATCTTGTAATGATTGGAAGGCTGACTCGGAATTACCTACAAGAGATGGATCTGTTTTTTTACATCAACATTTAACAAGAAACCCGCCCGTCAATTGTCAATAGGTGTTGAGGTCTTGCCTCCGTTTTCCCCAACAGCAAAATGAGAGTCTGTCGGGCTTTCCTGAGATCCTCAAGGACAATTTTTTGCTAGGGACTACCTCATTTTAACAATTACACTAAAGGATCTGCTGCTAACTTGATGATTTCTTCGTTGTTTCGCTTTAACAATTATATGTGAGTGGGTAATGTCATCCTTTTAGCCCATCATCATCAGATGGAGGGTCATTCAAATCGCTCTGCGTCGTAGTCCGTCCGCCCGTAAACAATATTTGCTATCGCTATTTCTTTAGGAGTACTTGATGGATCTTCCTCAATGTACACGTGTAGCTTCTCCTTGGTCCATAGTTATGCCCGCTTGATTTTGGACTGACGAAAAAGAAAAAAAAATAGAATGACCGACAGGTAGCCATCTTGGACTTTATTCGGTGAAGTTTATTATCGCAAGTACTTAAAAACAGAAAGGATCGATCTCTCTCCGGAAAGGATGGATCTCCCTCTAATTTCGTATGTAGGTTCCCTTTGGTCTCTAGATGTGCCCATGTAATTTTGATTATGATTAGAGAAAAGAAATGGCAAAAAGGCGGCCATCTTGGATTTTTGCAATCGCTACTTCTTGAGACGTGCCGATTGGATCTTTCTTAAATTGCATATGTAGGGTACCCTTAGTCCCTAGATGTGCCCTGCTGTCCATTCATCCAATAGTGGGTCTGATCAGAAAAAGTAAAATGGCCAAAAGGCGGCCAAATTTTGACTTCGAAAGTTTATTATCGCTATTTCTTGAGAACTACTGTGAAGATATTATAAAGATTACATTTATATGTTCCTATATGTCCCTAATTGGGCCGTTTTGAGTTTGAGAGTGTTAAAAAAGATAAGATGGTTGAAAGGCAGCTATCCTGAATTTTGCCGACTGCTATCTTGAATTTTGCCTAGTAAAAATTGCTATTTCTCATGAAGTACTGAATGCATATCTCTCAAATTTAGTACGTATGTTCTCGCCTTGTACATGTTTGATGTTGGAACTGTTCAGAAGTGAAAATGACTCCCAGGCATTTGGATGTGTCAGCTTAAGATTATCATCGCTTTTTATGCAAAGGTATTATCATTTAGAGCGAAAGCAGAGAGGAAAGGGTAATCTGACATAAATCATCAAGAAAATACTGATGTGTCAACATATCATAAAACAAACTCAAATTCAATAAAACTAGGGCAAACTATGATATATTTACACAGCGACTCCTGAAAAGGTACAAGGAAAATATTACCACACTATCTGTAAAAACAAGCTTCTAATTCATTGACGACCTCCTCCCGCCTATCGCTATCTAGAAATGGAATATTCACATTAATGAAATCGAAATCGTCACACTTAGCACACAGCTTGATTGAAGCTATGATAATTTCGTTGTAGGGACTTTCAACCCAATCGATGGTCCATATTATATCTTAGCCCTATATAACGATCCCCAGTCAAAAAGAATTTTGGGATGGTGTAGCTTTTTTGCGGAGGGCACACAAAAGATTAGGTATCGGCTTGATAACGGCTAGTATTTATATTTTGTGTACATTTTGCGTGCCCTAATTTAGGGTGGCCTAAGAAGTCATCATTTGTTAAAAAAATTCTGAGAATTTGAACAAAGATGGGCCAATATTTGTTTTAAAATAATCCATTCGCATATAAGCATATAAGGTTATCTTATTTTTCATTAAGTTGAATGTTCGTTTCTTTTAATTCTTAGTATATCAGGATAAAACAGCTGTATGAAACAGTTCGATTCCTCATTTGGTATGCTGATTCTATCTTTGTTTTAAAAATGTATTGGGAAGTGTTATTCACAAGTATATGTCATACAATCTTAAAACTCCAAATATGAAAATCTGGAACATACTACAGAAATTGGACAATTTACAAATTTAAATTGCACAATATGTGGTGTATAATGCAATAAAGCATTTTAGTCAGTATTTCAGTAAATATATTCTTAGAGTTCTACAAACGCATCGGGGACACAGAAAGCCATCATGGTGGAAAACAACGACTACTGTAAAAGTTGACAATTTATGCCGTTTGTGTTAGTACTTAAATCTATCAAACAGACCAAGCATACCATTCGATCAACCTAAGACATTATAGTTATCGGGGCTTTTGAGTGAATAAACATGAAACATTCTAGTCAGATTTTCGTACTGATATTCATTTCATCGTCTCCCTGTGTAAGCACATAAACGGTCTATTAACTATAAGCGGTATTTTTAATAATTTTTTGTTAAGGGGGTTTTGAATTAAGCAGACATGACGTCTAACTGTGAGCTGCAAGGAGTGGTGTACAATGGGAAGCACGGCTACTCATCTGGAATGGAGAATAGTAGAAAAGTTGTACGGACTGCAATCAAACAAATACTGCAATGTGTAGGTAAGGAGGACAAAATTTTATAAGGTGACTGAGCATATATATGTGATCGTTGAAAAATAATTTTGGGTGACACACTCCAAAGAAAGAGATTTGTTAGTACAACTCGGTCTTACTCTAAATAAGGATTTTATTTTTACAAAAAATAAGAATATTTATTCCGAAAATTTCAAGAAATATATGTATATTTAGAATAATATACACATCATGTATATCATAAAAGACGCAACTGTCTGGTAATTTCCAATTTTGTTATATCACATTTTACAAGATAATTTGATGAAATCAGAGCATGATCAGTCCAGAACGATAAGTATAGCAGAGTTCGGCGCTGCTGACGGAGGCGTTTCACTGGAACTCATGGAAGCTGTGATAGGTAAGTGCATATAATTTATAGTTTGTTATACTGAATACGTGCATCGGTACAAAAATATTATAAACATTTATTCTTAAACACGTTTATACACATCTATCTTTAACATAAAAATTAGACAGTATTTTATTGATAACCGATCATGCATGTTATGCCATGTCATTCTCCTTGTGACAAAATTATTGTTAAATCATACGTATTTTGAAGTAAAGTGTAAATATATCTTGTCATTTAACCGTTTCTTAATATATAGGGCAATGCACTATATTTCGATAAGTTATCTTTATTTCTTTGATATCTAACGTCATTACTCATGATACCTTGAAAAAATATGATGACTTGAGTTTAATTTATTACTTTATCTTAACTGTATCAAATTAGGCTTTTGTACTGAATCGTATCTTATGTAAATTCTTGCACACTGATATTTGCAATCAGCTGAAACGACTACAAAAGTATGCATATATTAAACAATCACGGCGAACATGGCATTATTCTAGTACAGTTTGAACTCTGCTCGGTTTAATAGACCAGTCGATTGCAATCTTATTTTAACATTGTTACATCGTATATACCAGATATGAAGATTTGTACATGTATCTGTATCTGTACTTTACATTCTACTTTTATCTAAAAGCTTACTTTAAATTGATATACCATTTTAAGTATTATCGTCAGAATTGTTAAAAAAATACCATAAACAAAGGCAAAATATAAGCAGAGGAATAAAATACACGCAGACTTTGAAAAAATACAAGGATAATAAAACCAAGTGTTCCTGAAAAACCAGCGTAGTTTGCTTCATTCATGACAACCGACATATAAACCATTGTTAATCCAAGTAAGTAATGTCACTTTCTCAAATGATAATAAGGTATACAACAACAGACCAAGAGGAAAAAATAACGAGCATAAAATTTCGTCCTTGTTAGTCAAACAAAACATACGTAACTATATGTTGTAATTGATGACTCAGAAGTTTAGAAACACACATACATTCATACACCGTGATATATACACTGTCCGACTAAACTCTCACGTTTGATACTATAAAACATACAAAAGTGATGCTATGATGTCTCACTCTCGTTAAAGAAATCGGTAAACAATATCATACATGCAACGTTTTCATCAATCTAAACAGAAGTTTCCAAAAGTCATGCACATCCTTATCTACATTTAGATATTTTATTCAACAGTTTTTACTCTGATCAATATATCTAAACTTCATTAGTAGTTGTTAAACTAAACAGCGGCATGGCACGTTTAATTCATTAATCGACTATACAAATCCAATTCATCATATGTGGGGGTTCAATTATTTCAGATCATATTAACCAACTATCAAGCGGTATCCGGGATATTACCATTGTGTATGAAGATCAGTTATTTAACGACTTCAACGTATTGTTTAAAACGGTCAATGGTAAGTCACCTTTTTATTCTTTAGCCGTTTTTTGTTTTCAGGAAATACACCACCTTCAATTAGTATAATATATAGCAAAATCGTGTTTAAAATTGAAAAGAAAACAATAATCAAGTCCTCTTTGCTGATATTCGGTAGTAGTAATTCCGATGAACGTTATCATATTTAATGTGGTTCAAAATCATCTTTTCTTTTTTTAATACATATCTGGTATTGCTTTCTTAAAATAAATAAACATTTAAACATGGAATAGGAAACAAAGTACATTTGCATATTTAAGTATAGTTGTATAACATCCAAGTGTGAATATATTGTATATATGAAATAATTTGGACATTGATGTTAAGAACACAGAAGAAAAAAGCAATCAATGAAGAAACACATGTACCTTGGGGTTTCTGGAAGTAATCCAAATTTGAAGGATTGTAGACATTACATCTACAACGTACTAATTGATCCAAGTAATGAAATGAGAGCAATAGGTACATGTATAGTTATTATATTTATTAATAGTATCAATAGTAAATGTTTTAAAAACCATAAACCCATAAGATAATACATTAATACAGCGGTACAATCATAAAACCTTAAATTAAATATTATATATTTGTCTAGCAGTCGGTTCTGATATGTGCATGGAATTGTCCGCAAATGATAACGTACACATCCTAGCCAGTGCAACATCAATGTACCGGATTTGCCTCCCAACTGGTTCAGTCGATCTAGCATTCTCTTCAATGGCAAACCAATGGCTGAGTAAAAAGTAAGTTAACAATCGGAACTCAATTTCCTACCTTCGATGATATTTAAAACTCAAACCGAGAAGACATTTTCAGATTAGATTGAATTGATTAGATTTACCTGCTGTTATTTGAGTCACAAAGCTTAATTTACATGTTCAAAATAGCTGTTTTGTGAGATGTTATTGACTGGCCTGTCTGTTGTAATATCCCGCTGAGTGAGTCATTAGTTTTCTTTTTCATGCCTACTTTCAAGACCCTGTGATATCAATGACGGGGTATTCCAGGATGATTGTAACAACGATGAACTGGAATCATTCCGACAACAATGGCAGATTGATTGGCAACAGTTTTTGTGGTGTCGTGCTAAAGAACTACGAGAAGGTAATGTCAGAATCTCAGTGCAAGTGAATAATTTTCAATAACTATTCTTATTATTCTCCTACTCAAGTTTATTATTGTTTACTATACTACAATATTCTTTCCTTAGGGGGATACTTAGCTGTGATTTCTTTTCTGACTGACGAAAATGGCCGCCGTAACGAGCATGCGGGAGAGGATTCGTATCATATTTTCTCCGGTATCTGGAAAGAGTTTCAGCAAACTGGAAAAATCAGTGAGGTAACATTGAAAATGTATATCAACTGAAATTGAAAATACTACATACCCGTTCCTCCATCGTCGTAATGAAATAGTAGTTATACAGCGTAAAATTATTATGCATATTCTTGAGGTAATTATGAAATATAACAAATATTTTTGCCGTCTATTTTTTTTTTATTTGTTTACTTTTTGTCATACATATTTTCATCACACAAATTTAAAATCGACAATCGACGCCGAGCAATTGCTAGACGAAATATCAAATCATTTCTGCGTCAGATTAAAAAAAGCATTACAAGTTTAAATGTAAACCGTCAACTGGGATAGTTCCGGTCTCTAAGTCGAACTCGTTATGTAGTATATAATCAAATGTTCATATGTAACACTTATTTTGGTAATGTGATCATTTTTTAAAAGAATTTCACAGCTGATATCATTGTGTTATGATTAGGAAGAGTATATCAACACTTCGTGTGTGACGTACATACCGACCGAAGCAGAGCTGGTGCAGCCGTTCCACACCGACATGAACGGATATCTAACTCTAGTTTCGTGTTCACAAAAAACTGTTGAGATTCTTCCTTGTCCACCAAATAACACAAGTAAGTCTCACACCGAATTGAATGAATTGTTAAACATTTGTTGGATACATTTATTTAATTGATGCTGGAGGAAATTTGCATAATGAATATGATATATTTTTTGATAATTTAACAAATTAGTGAAAACTTATTTGCAGATTACAATACCATATTTTGAATAGTGATTAACTCCGCCAAACCTTTAATCAAAACAGATTTGAAGAAATTATTTACTCTGCAGGTATCGAAGACAGAGAGATGTTTGTGGACAGATCACTTTGTTGCATCAAGCCATGGTTATATAATATCCTGGTGTCTGGTCTATCCCCGGACCGAACTGATGCTGATAAGGAAAGACTACTTGATGTCTACTTCAAGATGCTTCGAAATATCCTCATGCAAATGACCACGTTCTGTCCTATTATCTACAGAACTGCCAGTGTGATAGCCAAACGTACATGATTATAACCGAAGCATTTTTCTTTAAAAGTGAAGCAGACAATCACTAAAGATATTTTCTGAAAAAAATCTTGGATGTATATTTAGGACAATGTTCTAGGATGGATGTTGACCACCAATGAAGTTCATCAAGCAAACTGTCCTATATGATAACAGTAGTGTAAAAGACAGACACTTCTCACATGATCCCGTTTTGCTTTGCAGAACTCTTGATTGACAGTACAAGAAAGTGTTTTGATTCTTAAGTGTTACGACAACATAAGCATGCACAAGTTTGGATTTTAATATAAACGTGTACACAAAGTACAACATAGAAATTTATACACATTGTATACATAAGTCATAGATGCATGATTCAAAGTTATGGAAATTTCTACAAGGCAGGATTAACGGCCTGATTAATATATACTTATTACAATATTTATGGTGGTTCCATGTATTGCGTGTGTATGAACAACCGGAACATATCAAAATAGTTTACCCTAAACGCATTCATTTTTGTTTACTTTGTAATTATGACCGGCCGTCGCACGGCCATAATTCCTTAGAAACTTGATGTCACCATTTTACTATCCAAGAATTACTAGGACACTGGACAGCCATCCTATAGTTTTTATTAGTTCAATCCTGGTATACATTACAAAAGTCACCACCTCACTTCCACAACCACAACCTGGTCCAATCTCTAAGTAAGTTCTCTTTCCGGGGACTGACAACCCCTACATATATATATATATATATACCAACTCCTAGTCCCTAGTAGAAAGCACCCCTTTCATGGTCCCTAGGGCTTCCTAGATACTATGTCCTAGAGGCAGGTTGTGTTTCTTTTCTAACTATAACTCTTATTTACAAATTAACTATAATATGTATGTAAAATATGAAAAAGTTGTAATTTCCTCTAGTTTCTGACAATACCCAATTCATACATCTCCATTTATATAGCTAAATGATAGTTGAGAAATATAATCTTTCAGGACATTGAAATTACAGTTATACTCTAACAACTTCAGCCCTATACTATACTTTAAATTATAAAAATATCTTTGGAAACTACATGTTTCACTCTTATTAACTGTGCTATTTCTCTGTTCATACAAACTATAACTTATAAGTACCAATACATTATATTTATAAAACAATCACACTCCCTTTCTCTATGCTGGCTAAACCTTTCATCTCTTATCACCAACTCTGTAGGACATAAGCTGGGTCATCCCTTCAACCAGGGGAAGTAGGCACAGCATGACTCCTACTGGCCAATGCTCCATGGTGTTAGTTGCACTCTTATCTATATCCTCTAAACAATTTAATTCTACCTGTCATATAACTATAACGGGTTCACAAAATATACAAGCACCAATGAACACCTGTTAGATATACACAATAAGGCTAACGAGTATCATACCGCGAGTTCAGTTTCGGTTTCGTCTGTCTGAAGGCGTTCGTTTGACAATAACCGTCCGGTAAAATTATCCCTTTTCCACCACTTCATTTTATTGGTATTATGATAATAAGTAAAATCGATTTGATTTTCAAAATTAATACTAGTTATCTGTTTTTATATTTTGTGTACTCATCCGTGTAAGTTTTAATTTTAAGTATTTGATGTTTGCATTTTTCCAATATGTTGCATATGTAGCAATCTGTCTCGGTTAGGTAAATAATTGTACAGATGATATACGGAAAAAATAAGAATGTTAATGGTACAAAGTAATTTTTCAAAAAGAAGTCCATATGTTCTTTCGACATATAGCCGAACAAAAGTGAAATAAAGCCGCTCACCTACCTCTTCCACACCGCATAATGCCATAATGTCACAGAATGCGCAACACAAGTGTCAAATTAGTTATTTCCGCTATTCATGAGATACGCTGGAATATTATACTTCATTACCATATATACAGCCGGTCACATGGTCATCTTGGGTGATTATTTAAACATTGATCAGCTTTAATTAGACATGAATGCAGGAAAGGAAAAAATCGATGATGCGTGTCGGCGCTGAATTTTCATTTAAGCAGCTGGCATTTATAGATGTCCAGGATTATATATCCATAGATATGATGCTGATTGTTTTTAGAATGTGTTCATAGTACTTTCAAACCATAACATCTTCGTGTTTTGTCGTTGTTCCCTGCACCACATGAAATCAATTCAACGTAAAATATCGTTCGCAATTTATAGAATATCCGAGTAAAGCAAGATTTTTGAAACAATACAATAAGATGACAGTAAATTATCATGTTTCTGCTTGTATCAATCTATACGGATTAGAATAGTGACAGTCCTCGTATTTTTTGACTTCGGTAGTCGTTTATCATGGATATACCCTAACAGGTATCCGTTTTTATATATCCTTTACAGGAACTGCCGGGAGTATAATTAGAATGTACCGCCGTCAATATTACAGGAGACCCATGAGCTTTAGAAGAAGTCGTTTGAAGATTTTTAATATTTGAACCATTTGACCATGAATTTGGTACTCATTCATCCCAGTATTCGATGCGTGTAATAGCTGCACCCTGAACCTTTTGAATGTTGTGATGAAGCCGTTTAGATTAAACATATCTGACCCCTATGAAGTACAAAACTGGTCAATGTCAAACATATGAATAAACCTAGTTGTCCTTCATCCCATCATTTTACATGTTCAATATAAACACTCTGGGCCATTTTGGTTATTGAGAAGAAGTCATTTCAATGGAAAAAATGCAGACGACGCATGACGACGGACAAAACACGATGGCTATAGGTTATCATAGTCCTTTGGTCAGATGGCCTAAACTACAGTAGTGTGTTTCACTTATGCGTAATCCATTTTGAATTAAACAGTTTCTGCCGACAGACAGTAGAGAAAGCTAGTGGGAACTTCTACCAGAAGCGAAATGATGACATAAATGAATGTAATGGGCAAGTCGAAATCTGACTTTTTGTTAGAACTGTATTAAGTATAGTTAGAATATAGTATGCTTGTTCCTATCAATACAGTGGAGTGGGGTTCATATGTCGTTTCTTTTATCACGAGATGAAGGACTCTGGTTAGGATATAGATCGAGACATATGGAAAGCCTTAAAATGTTTCAATGCTTGGCTTATCTATCTATTCTTTGCATTGATTCCTTGTGTTCATACCTGAAGTTCTTCATGTCTGTCACTGAATGGCAATCGTATACGTCCACGGAAATATATGCAGAAAGCAATGAACATCTTGGAGAGGCTTAGACGCATCACAAGTTTTCAGCATGTTTCTTTCAATTTAAGATTAAGATTTGGTATAGAAATATCAAGAAAAGGTGGGAGGCTATACCAATTGATGTGATTTTACATAGATGAGCTATTACAATTGATCTCTAGGAGGAAAGTATTACATAGTGTACCTGTGATCATATCTATCAACATTTTGATATAATCAATATACCTAGTTAGAAGCAGAGAAAAGAAAATTGAAATAAATCTCTTGGAATATTTCTGGCGTTCTGTATATCTAACATTTCGATGATACATTTCAACACGTCATTATCATAAATTTCTCTGATGTCTGGACCGACATCTGCATCAACAGTGAAGATGGTCACCGTAATTCGGCTAGCGTCAATTCGAATGCAATGATGTCGCCATGGAAACGACTTAACAATTCGCGAGTATATCGGGAATTAAATCATGAAAAGTAACATATCATTATTTAAGAATTGTTGATCGATATTTTTGGTTATGGTTAAGTATTGCACAAAAAAAATTCTCACATGCCATTGCATATATGAAATGAAAGGAAACATCATGTATTATCAGAAAATAATTAGACATAAGCATCGGCGATCGGCTATACCGTAAAATCGTCGCATTTGTTTTCTTATTAATAATTTTCACTGTACAACCAACACTGACCAAATTTAATATTCCAGATTTTCGTAATGTTTGTCTGGAAGAGTTGTCGTTCGTGCGGGAAGGTATATCGACTTCCGTTTTTTTTCTAAACAATCAGCTGAATATGGGGAAGGACTATTGCTCAGTGTTTGAGTGTCATAATTTCAGTGGAAGAGTAGGCAAATATGGGACTAAAGTGACTTTACATAAAATTCCTAAGGAACAGTATACAAGAAGAGCCTGGATTCGAGCGATCAGTAGGAAAAACTGGATGCCATCAAGTTACACTCGTGTGTGTTCGGACCACTTCATGGACGGTGTTGGCCCAAACTCTCTCAAAAATCCATATGTTGCAATTAGCCAATTTATTATAAACCTAACAAATCTGTAACATAATTGTAATAATAATATATTAAGTATGTATATTATGTATGGATAAAGAATATAGCAAAATAATCACATAGTAAATTATATTCATATTTATAAATTTACTTCAAAAATCATGCAAGGGATAAATATTAAGGCCTGGGAGTTTTTAATTTGGCTTGCACATTTAAACCTATGAATCTGTGTCTATAACACGTAGATTTGTTGATCATATTTCATCTATAAATATTTAATATAATTATATTTAATGCTTTACATAAACATATGTGCAATACTAAACACCTGTGACCTGTTGTTTTTTTGTCAGCTATGCACAGGTTCAGCTGTCCAACTCTACCGCAGAACTTTGTATGGTACTCCCAGTAGCAGCAGTAGTGTAACAACACAAGCCACACAGACATGTCAGTCATGAGTGAAACATTTTGGCACTGAAGTTGTGATGTCAGAGTTAGTTATAGAGAGTATCAGCCACTCCAATAATTTGATCTTGTTTTATACTGGTCTACCTGACATCAGAACTTTTCATGCCTTGTTTGAATCGCTAATGTAACAGGGTGCTGATAAACTTTCTACAGAAGCTATAGGTGAAATGAATACAGATGGCTTGGGTCGTAAAAGGAAACTAAGGCGTATTGATGAGTTTGTACTTGTAATGATGAGACTGCGTCTTGGTTCATTAGTGAGGACTTAGAATACCGGTTTAAAATTTCTGCCAGTACTGTATCAAAGATATTTAATTCCTGGATAATATTCATGTCTGAGTGCTTGCAGTCTAATGTTGTATTACCACAAATGAATATTCTTCAGATGCGAGTGTCACAGTGTTTTAAACTGTTTTCTGATACAAGAATTGTTCTTGATTGCACAGAAATATTTATTCAAAGTACATTTAAAGCTGGTGCATTTTATAAAAGTTGAGCCCACGGATATACTGGCGATAGCATTGCATTTTCTCAGAGACCTCTGTCATGTGACAGCTATGAATCAAATACTTTTCAACATCTTAAACAGTTACTGTTGGGTAAGAATTAGATTGTTCAGTCCAACCACTACACAAATCAGTTATTGGGACTACATCATCAGAATAAGATGAAAATTAAGTGTCATTCACGTTTCCTTCAGGCCTACCGTTAAACGAATCACTTGCAGTAATCAGCCTTGCTTGAATCGTGTCGACAACACGCTGGGAGAATGTCAGTTTGCTACCGCTTGTTTTGAGGTTGTTTTGTCGCAAAAATCTTGTATTTCCGTTTTTGTATGATTGATGATATCTTCTACAGTTGTTCTGGGCGATATGGGCAAAGGTGAAGTGTTTATGACGAGATAATCCATCGGCAATATTTTTTTTTTTTTTTTTTGGAAAAAAACGCCCTTATACTTTAATCCCGGAAGTTGATATACCGTCCCGCAAGAACGACAACTCTTACAGGCATACAGTTACGAAAAGACGGAATTTTATGACTAGAGAGAAAATATGATTCATATATTTTTTAGATTGTTTCTTATTCGGAAAAAATGTAATTCAAAACGAATATCATGCCGACATAATAAAATCATTAAACTAAATTCTTTTGAAATTATTCAAAATTAAACATTTATGGAATGTCTAACGAGTTTCGTAATAATGAAACATCTATACGATGTTGTATAATTCACTATTTGATTATGCGTAATATGTATTGAAACTTTTTGTCATTTGTATGTCGTTTGTACAATATTCGGGATTGCTGTTGTTAAACATTGCTATTTCAGTTAAATTTAAGCCAGATTTAGCGAAACCTTTATGCCACATTCTAATTTATATTTGTGTGTAAAATATTAATCAGAAGACGAAGGTTAGTTATTTCTATGTAATCACGTAAGATGTATATAACCAGGTGTGTATATTTTAAACTATACGCGACAAGTTTTATGAAAAATTTCAGCGTACCTATAAAATAATAATAAAATTGTTATTTAAGCAAACAATTAGCAAACTATGAAGCAAGAAAACATTATATTCCTCATTTTTATCTGAGAAATCAGTTAACAGTTAGTTAAACTTACTTTCTAATACTGACATTCTAAAATGACAATAAGATATGTTTCAAATCAGGTTTGCACATTAACACGTTGATTAAGTTATTCATATAGGCATTACTTTGGAATGTTTTAGCTCTACAACAACAAAAAAACTTCATATTGATTACAAATAGGACAAACGTCTGTGAAATATTTACAACTGAATACCATCTCTTGATCCGCTGACATATGGTAAACACTTGACAAAAGTACTGATAGCGTACATAGCGTATACGTGTACACTTTTGCATTTGACAGAGTTACAATATATCATCATGCAAGTTTATTGCCAATAAATAGCGTTACATTGTTCTATATGAATTAACACTGGCTTTTTGTGACAGAGATATGATATCCTGCGATGGCCAACTGGTGTCCTATGTGATATCAATCCACTGTACATTCTCATGAAGAAAACAGTTTAACCAGAAAGGCAGAAGATTCTCGGAACAACCAGGATATAATACCAGTTCTCCACGATGAGAAAAAGCGTCTTCAATACAATAAAGACATATTCTAAAACTACAACGCTTTAAAAAGCAATATCTTGATATTAAACTGCAGGGGGGCGAGACTAAAAGTACATCCGGTACGAAAAGAGTTAACAACATATTATAGAAAATACCTTAATTCCATGTATCAACACCGACCAGTCTGGTTACCAGATCTGCATATTGATTATATGATCACACTTTCTATAGTTTACCTACATTTAACATATAACAATATCCCCATAAATCATGAACATTGGAGTGATTAACTATTATTCTGTTTTATGTTTGTAGGAAGAATTATATTACAACATGCATTTCTCTCACCACAAAAATATTCAAATAATACATTTACAAAAAATTACATGCTCAGCATTATCAACCCACTTGTCCACCAGTTGTAATCCGGCGCGCTTTATCAGAGTCTGTACCTGTGTCGGTGTATATTTATGGCTGATACCGGGCCCGTCGTGTAGATACAATGGTTCGCCCTTCGCCATGTTCACTGTGATACCTAATGTAGCTGTAACATAAGGAACAAAATTATGTAAGGTAGCGTTCTTATAAGCAAAATCAATTTATCACTACTGGTAGAAATTTAGTCACCAAGGATTGTCGTTACCACGTTTTAATTCATTCCGGTTCCGACACAAACATGTACTTGCCGTTGTTGATATCAATTAAATATCACATTGGTTTTTTTAGTCGCATCTTCGCTTCCAAATTAAGGCCCTTATATCACTAATGAGTCCCAGAAGGCTTAAATGAAAGCTGTATGATGAAGTTTAATGAAAGGTCTGGCCCTGCTGTATGAAACGCTATATTTCTATATCAAAGACGCTACTCTTGTTTTGGTACCACAGTAGACCTAAATTGAAAGGACTATTGAGAACACACAATCCTTCATATACCTTGTGAAAAAGGGTGTTAACAAATATTTACATTTTTTTTTAAATTTCTGATCAGGCTCAAAATAGAAGAAAAGGCAACCGAAGGGATCAAGCTAGGAACTCGATAAAATATCAACTACACTTAAAACGACATTAACATGTAATCTGAAAAAGTATCGTATCAACCTGTGGTTAGTTTTTTTCTCCTGTATCCGCTCTAGAACAACAAAGTTCGTTCGCTTTTGCTTTCGATTCTGCCGTGAAATCATCCAATATTTTAGAGAGCTAAAGTAATTGTAATCCAGTTTCCAATGTGTCCAATGATCAAACAATGAGGACCGTGGGCACAATTTCCTCACGCCATCTACAAGTACTAATCATGATATTTGTTGCGTTTTCATTTATGTTCATAATTTCGTAAGTACTTTTTACTGAAATATCTAAAGATCTCAACACATATACTTACGCAGTGTAAACGAGTTATCCCGCTTTGCTCTGAATATCACTTGGACAGAACTCATCTTATCTGCCGAGTCATCTTTGATGAATTCCACCTCTAAATCAAAATTGTCTGGGTTGATTGTACATTTCTCTTCTCGAATCAACCGCCATATGAAGTTCATAAAGAGCTGTCTTCCTGAATAATAAAATGTATTTCTAATTTAATGACCTAAATAAAGTATGGCACATTTCAATACATCAGTTTATGAAGTACCCCTTATGGTAGGAAGGGGCTCTAAATTGTAAACGGTCATTCAGTACAACAACCCCCCCCCCCCCCCCCCCCCCCCCCCCCGGAAGAACTTTAATATTTTTCATATTACTTTTTGACATGTCCCCCCCCCCCCCTTCATCAATCTTCAGACACTTAACAACAATATTTATATATATATATATATATATCAGCGGATCAACTTCAATGTCTATTTCATTATATCGCTAACCCTATTACCCATTTAGTGATGCAAGTCGTTTTCTCAATCGGTCAGGGAATGATAAAAAGCAATTCTTCATCGTGTATGTATATTTTTTCTACTTTATTGTAACAGGAAGTGCGTGTATTTAGAACGTCACAATACATTATCATATTAAGATAAACTAATGCAAGATATTGACAAAAGAAAGAATTACACGAACAGTCCTGAAAGAGAGAATATCGCACAATTGAATTGAAAATTTCTCAAGATCATTATGACGACCGTAAAATCCTCCGAACTTTTCACCAAATTGCATCATTTCCGTCAGTTCAGTTCACGACTTGCACTTATATCGTGATACAAGTAACAAAAATCGAATCAACTTAATTATTATTTATGACACATATTATTTCTTTTTTCTTCTTATAGCACGAGCCATGCAAGCGGTGAAATTAATAAAACGTGGCTTGCAGGTTACACAAACCTATAGGACTAAACGTCTACCACCTGCAAACGCGAAGATAGTGTAAAAGACACAAAAGTGAATATTGTCCTTCAAATTTTAAATTTATATTCAGTACAACAAAACAATGAAATAGAATACATCATACAGTCATATCGTCCTTGAAGGATTAGTAAGTGATGTTATGGGCCATTTTCATGAAGCTTAAAAAGCAATCAAAGGAAATCTGAAAAAAAATATAATAGTATAAATGTATATATGAAAAGGGGCAGTAGCTAAATGTTAAAACCGTTTAAGAAGTTTAATTTCCTTGAATATGCTGCAATGCAGTCAAATGCATGTTTCTCGCAGTAAATGTAATGTTGCAAGCTATACCCCCCCCCCCCCCCCCCCCAACCACCACACACACACATTTACTGGTTTCTATATATTACGAACGGAATATAGATTTACTTCGTGGGACATTTCAGGTGCATGCTCAATTCCAATTTAACAGTTACACACAAGAACAGTTACGATAAAGAATACAACAGAAATTGTCGAAAGAACTTGTTTTGTGGAGAATACCACGATGACATTTTACTCGTGTTTAGATATGAAGAAAAACTCTCACCATGGAAATCATTGTAGGCCTTCATGATATCATCTCTTTCTTGTGTTATATCGACACTAAAAATCAAACTGCAGCCAGCTGTAAAATAATAAATTGGTGTAAATTAACATAATAAATATATATTTCAACCTAACAGCACAACAAACATATGCTTTGAAATTTGAAATCAGAAAGGAACCGCTGGATGCCACGTAAGAGACGACTATGTTTGGGTGCCTTTATTTCGATCTGCAAAAGAAATACCTTCTTCATGTCTGCCTTGACACTAATTAGTGTGGGTTGCGCCAACTATAAGTGCCCTGTTGCATCCCTTTTAGCAATGTGATAGCACAGTAAGGTCTTCGTCAGTTTAGTATAACCAGGAGAATTACACAAACATAACAAACCTACCGAAATCACATGATATCCACTGATATTTCGTAATTAACCGACAATATTTATTCACATGAAAAAAAATGAAAATACGAACCTGTCATCACTGATTTCACTAGCTTTAGTTTTCGTACTTGGTCGTCAGGCTCTAGACTCTGGATACTACCAAACCATAGGATCAGTTTTGAACAGGTATATTGTCTGCAAGAAAGAGATGATCTGATTTACAATATCAAGTGCAAAACAAAATGACAACAAAACCAATAAGCGAAGAATGTGGCAAAATATGTGTCTAGGTTAAATTAACCAACAAACCATTAGCAAAATAAATAAATTAGCAAGACTTAACAGCGATATCGCCTGATTTTTATAAGAATTTCCTACTTCTTATTTATTATAATAGGATTTTGCCAAAATTTGGTCTGGCGGAAGTGGAATCGATTTTGGTCAAATGATGGGTTTTGGCCACTGAGACAAGGAGGACAGGGCCAATAAGGGGAATAGAGAATTGTCTTTAAAATCCTATTGCTCCAGTTAAGATCAGTGGATGTTGACCATAATAGGACGGATTAATTATTGTATATATAAGAACCAACTTTATTTATACAGTTGGTTAGTTGAAAGGGACGGGGCGCAATAATGAAAATAGAACAACACATTTAAAATCCTCTCCTCAAGTAGGACTGATTGACTTTTGCCCAAATTTTGTCAGGAATATTCTTGGGGGAAATGAGAATCAATTTTGTATAAAGGATGGTTTCAGCCTCCTGGGGTAAGAAAGATGAGGTCAAATATGGTAATCAGATCAAGTTATGCATAAGATTGTAGAGGCAGACTCTGTTTGAATGAAAGAGAACATATTATAAAGGATGCTATTTCTGTAGTATTAATAGGATGTTGTCAGAATGCAAATAAATACATACAGAGCAAATTTTCATTTTTTGTGTGTTCAGATTTAAAAATTAGAATCAATTTCAATGGCATTTAAACTTCTCTTTCCTCTATAGCGAACATAAATTTTAGACCTACCCACTTGCATCGAACACTTGCCACCCGATCAGTTTGGTCGGTCGGGTGGGAGGGGGGGGGGGGGGGCGCAGTGGTATCGCATTGGCCTTTCATCTTGGAACGGAGTGAAAAGTATGGGGTCCGAGCTACTCTAGTTTCCCCCACTGGAACACAGCTCGCGGGCCCGGGGCAACAAGAGTGATTAATATAAGGTCAAAGCTTATTTCGCAATTGTTGTAAAATAAAGTTTGTTTATATATATGTTATACCGAAAACGGCAAGTTTCTATTTGCATATATCATGAACAAATTTGACGACTGTTCCGTTTAACACAAATGGTTTATGACTGTACAGGGATATAAAGATGTCCTGATGTGTTCATTAGGTCCACAAAGAATGAAGGTAAATGGGAAATTGAATCATAATATATATTGCAATGGTATTGAGCTTAGAACGCCTAATCGGCAGTTAAAGAAGCTGCAGGTTTTTGTTGTTAGTTTTAAGTATTTTGTCGTATTTACCTCTTCTCATACAGTTACTTCTCTTCGTTTCATATATCAGATGGAATTTGTATGTGATGAACACTTAAACACGGCAAGACTAAAATGTTATTGCGACGTGAATAAATTGGTAACGTTTGTTATTGTTAATGTGGAATGGAAGGAATATTCCACAGCATTTATTGCTACATTGTATATGTGAAAAAGCACACCATTAATGTTCTAGGTGATCATTACATAAGAATATATCATTTGCAGCCATGAAGAGAATAAAAGAATCTGGTTAAACAAGTATACCATTGGGGTGTTTAGATATACAATGTAAAAACTGCCTGTCGACGGTGATGACAATAGTGAGCAGCGAAACTGGAGCATTACAAACTCTCATTGGTCTACAGGATTTTTCTTGGAAAGACTCTTGCTTACTTTATTTCTGCGATACCAGTTTCGTAGTCAGCACTAATCGGGTTGATATCCAGTTGCTCTGCATATTCATCAGACAGCTTCTTACACGTGTCTAGTAACATTTCTGAAACAAATCAGAGTAAAATAAATAGCACTATATATAATGCAAGTACAAGAGGTACCTGCGCCTCGGTAGCAAGAATACCAAATAATGTCTGGCCATACCGCATGTTCATTCAATTGCTCATAGTGAATTTGTTGTTTTACGTCACACAGAAATGCAAACATTATCATTTTAAACAGAAACTAATGAAATACGTAAAATGTACTCGCATGTCAACCAGTGCAGTTATGCACAGTCGTTGAAACAACGTTGCGTCATTGGAATATTGACAGTGAAATAATGCATTATTCTGCGAAAAACACTTATGGGTTCTTTGGTTAACTCCCTCTGTTGTGATTAACTCCCTGCATATTAAATGAGTTCGTCATCCCCATACAACAGCATCAACCTCTCCCATTGATTGTTATGAATTAAATGAATGCGATGCATATGGTAATAATCGATATTTTATCGGTTTATGCATGTCACATGCCAAAATGGCGAAGTAACGAGTGGTCCACCAACGTATATTCATGCCTGAGGGTGCACTCTGAGTGATATAACAGTACACAGATCACTTTGCACACACGTGGAATATATTGAGGCAAATAAATGATGTCTGAAAATTAAGAAGTATAGGATATGTAAACAAAGTTAAATATCGGTAAAGGTTACGGATATATTTGATTAGGTTTAAAATGGCACTAAAGTTTAAATATAGTGAAAAAGCCACTTTGGGCTCAGCTGTATCACTTGAACTGATGCAAGGTTGAATTCGACAAGTCATGAGAAATCTTCACAAAAACAAATATCATATGTATATCTTTTTGTGATAAATAGCAAATACGAATGTGACGTACAACATCTATGCTTTATACCTACCATGTGAAATATCAACTGGATAAAAAGCCAGATGACTTTTCGTTTTCAAAATTTCATCAATAAACATGCGTGTTTTCTGACAGTTTCCGCTTCCCATGTCAACCAGGACACTGTTGTTCATGTCCAATCCAAGCATATTCTGATAAATAGAAATTGATTATTAGTAGCGAGTATTGTACATTACAACAAGCATTATTATATATGTATCCTCATAACCGAAAAGTGATAATGTCAACTGATGCCTGAAAGTACATATCCTGGAACTCCTGGTCTTAAACTAATTGTAATGCTTTTCAAAAGTCTCAATGCATTTTTTTTCATATTTTGCTCCGGTTTTATGGAATTTTAGTTTGGACTAGGATCATGTTGCCATGTTTTTTTTTTTTTTTTTTAGTTTGTTTCTTATGAAAACTTCCTCAAAACATACAGAATATTTTCACAGAACTACTAATCAGTAATACAAACAGTCGTCAAGTAAACTTATCCTTAAATTTTATATTGTGAAATTGCCATTTGTTTTAACTGCTACCTTTATAGGCCAACTTAATTTAGGTTAGTACAGCATAATTACCCTGGGGCTTTACTTTGTTAGGAAGAATCAGTATAATTTTTTCCCATCAAGAACAGTCAATAATCCGTTTAAATCTGCGAACTTTACAAATTCGTCATTTTCATTGGAACCCCTTTTCTCCACAATGGTACAAGGCGATTTTCCTTAAGGACGTTTTGACAATTATGATATATTTTCACTTTTTTATTTGCCACATTTAGGCCATAATCTATATACGTAATGCTGTTGGCTCATATTTAGGTAACATTCATGAATACATTAAGAAGGGGAAACAATAAAATGTAAAATAAAAGATTCGTAGTTCTGCTCCTATGATGTCATAGAAATGTAAATAGTACATGATGTTTGTATAAATACACCAATGAGCAGCAAGTATTACAATAGAGCATTCGCCGCCATAGCACAACGTCGTTTGAGCAAAATAAGCCGAAATATACGCAATCAATTTGGCAAGTTAACTATTCATTTAGCGAATGGTGGTTACTTTTTCACAAATTAATCTCGGACAAAAAGTTACGTGTATGGTATTTAGAGGATACCAGTTGTTTTGTTTTACTCACCGAAATGTGAGTTTGCAAAATTCCCAGTTCACACCTATGAAAGTAGTAGTTTTCGTTTTTCTCCAGGCACATGTCATTCAGTCTCGATCCTTCATTGTCGTAACGATACCATGCAGGGAGGTATTTAGGTGTCGATTGCAGCCCAATCACCACTTCTTTTTTCATATCCATATTACTGAAAGGACATCGTTTTAACACACATTATTTTACAAATCTTGTTTACGTTTTGTGGAAAACGATTTAGTGTGACTGAACAATAGAGAGCAATGGATGACAGTGCCAAAATGTAATACTCATGACATAATGGACAATTTCAGAGATAAATTTTTTTCACATACAGATCTAGTTGTTTAAGTCTTCGTCTTTCCTTAAATCATACTTTTAGTGATGTATGCCTTTGAGAATTACACTTTTTGTTTTGATGATGATTTGTTTTAAAGATATGAGCTGTCGAATATAACACCTACGGATTTGGTTTGCTCAACAACCAGAATGAGGACACCACAAAGAGATAGATTTAGATCGTCGTGTTGACAAAAAAGCATACTGTTTTTGATTGTGAAAACATTGACGTGTTGAGGATGTATGAATGTTGCTATTTAAAAATGGTTAATTCACAATAGGGGATTTGAAATCGTCACGCTCATCAAATAGCTTGATGGTTCGCTGCCCATGTTGTTTTCTTTGCAGAAAAAAAGATCTAGATAAACGGCTAATGGCTGACGTATATGAAATGTTTTTGTACTTGTTTTCTAATTCTGATTGGTATATACGATGGACGTGGTCGATAATTATTCTCTTATTTAAAAACCCGTAGCAATCAAGGTTTCTATGATCATTTTCAATAATTAAGCCACGTTTGAAAAACAGGTCTGCCAGAAGGGGGATGCAGTTACTTTACATGTGTATACCGATAATCTGTTGGAATTTCATAACATATGTGATACCAAAACCGTGAAAATAAAAATGCACAACGGTGTGCATAGGGTTATTGCAACACTTTCCACAATAGATCTAATTGAGTCTCTTCCGCTTTTAGTTTTTTTATACGGGTTCAAAGTTTCTAATGCAATACCCGGTTTAGTGAGAAAACTTTAATATATATTGTCTATAATAAGTATGTAGCAGGTTTTGCCGCTTTTTGTTCCGCAATTTTGAAATGTCTAATTTATGAAAAAATCAGTAAAGGTGGCTTTTGCAGAGGACGTTTTATTTGCATCATCAATTATCCTGCTTTCTGATGGAGTATCGACGACAGGAAATAGTCTTGACCAGTTAATTAGTTTAATAAATGATCAGAATTTTGACATGTACACTGTATTTACATGTTTTCCCGTACATTAACTCGAATAACAAATTGGTACCTGCCTAAGCTGAGGTCTTTAGCTGGATTACAATTAAAACATTATCGAACGTTTTATAACAAATTGTAAAACAAATTCCACTTGCATACTAAAGTGTATTCATATAACCAGTATACATATATATATATATATATGTGTGTGTGTGTGTGTGTGTGTGTGTGTGCGTGTGTGCGTGTGTGTGTGTTTGTGTGTGTGTGTGTGTGTGTGTGTGTGTGTGTGTGTGTGTGTGTGTGTGTGTGTGTGTGTGTAAAGCTGAGCCAGTTACGTGATACAACGTTTTCAACCACGTACAAGTCAGTGATAATAGTTTAATAGTAGACGGCATAAAAGCAGCGAGAACGTCGGATAGCATGAATAGATAGGGAGGTGATTGGAAACAATAATTCAAAACTTTTAAATTTTGTGGAAATAGGTTTTACAACCATTTAGTTGAAGATACAGGATTGGTGTAAATTATTGTTTTTGTTTTCGACTACTGCTTTTTAAACGTGGTATCATATAGACTAGCCGAATGATTATTACAATAAAAGTCCCATTACAAACCCACTTTAGTTTATAAATAGGGTGGCGTCTGGCTACCCTGATCATTCTCCTCTGCTCACTTTATTTGACAACCGACTGGTCACCTGTATAAATCTGGCTCAAAATTCTGATTGAAAAGATAGCATCGAGATCACATGGTTTGATTCAATCTCAACATATATGAATCATTGTATAGACCCACTCATGTGTAATATTAAAGTTACATTTTAAACTGAATGTTTCCTCGCTTCACTGAAGCGTATGTGTGGCGTTTAATTCGTTAAATTTTGTCAAGTAGTTGCAATGTCATCACCATCAGGTGGCTGGGGAGCGCAGTGGTAACGCACTCGTCTTAAGCCATTTCTTGTTCGATAATAATGTGTTTTTATATTGTCTTATTGGTAAGCATTTTGTAATATTTTCATGAAACAATGTTTGTATTTTTAGACAGATAATGTTATTTTAAAATTTTTATTTTATTTTATGTCTAATTTTTAAAGTATTCCTACAACAACAACTTTCCTGAGGCAAGGGAGAACAAAGGCTGGTATTACGATCAAGCAGACCCGTGATGCTGCTACATGGTGTATAACAGTAATCCTTGCCCTCTGCATCAACGTCTTCTTCAACACAGTCATGATCACCATCACGATCAAAACAAAGTCAGAAACTTCAACCCCCATCATAAGCAACTCCAAATCAATAAAGGAACAATTAACAAAAAAAAATAAATAAATAAATAAAATTTCCTCAGATACAAAGAAACAATGGTCTGATTATCCAATTTACACCTTCAACAAATTCGGCTCTCTGGCTGATATGAAGTACCAGAAAGCTACCTCTAGATCCTTCAAGATCCCTTAGGTTAAGTAAGTAGTCTAGCTAATTATCAATGGTCCCCCAAATTATCTCTACTTGTGTTAGTTATAATGGATTCAATAATCAAATGGCATTGTAGACTAACTCCTATCGCAATTACCTCCCCCATTCATACTTTTTGGTAAATTTGATAGTTATAACAACCTTAGGGTTCACTGACACTAATAACAGTGGATCAACATTTGAAAAAAATATGTATTGGAAAATATTCTTTGTCTTTACAATAAGAAATAATATTAAACTTATTGGTATCAGTGAGCATTCTTTCACCTTGATTTAATTTTATATCACCCATCTTCGTTACTCGATTTCGAATGGACGGTATATGATGATCCCTGTGGAAGCAACCACTTTCCAATATTTCTAAGGAATTGTAGATTTACAGAGAGCGATCATGTACCACATTGGAAATAATATAAAGCAAATTGGAGTAGATTTGAACATCTCAGTAACACAATTCTCAACACCATTGATTTCCTGAATTCAGAAGACCCGATGGATTACTTTAAAACCGAACATTTTGAGATAGCCGAAGAATGTATACCAAAGTCCAAGTGAAAACGCAATAAAAAAAACATTGGATTAATGAAGATTGTGATAAAGATATTAGAAGCAGGAATCCGCTTTGAGACAATTAAAAAACTACCCCACAAGCGATAACTTAAACAACTACAACATTATTAGGGCGAAAGCCCGAACTGCTATGCACGTACACAAACAATTGTCTTTTGTGTCCAAATTAAATGCCAATACATCCACGCAAAAAGCTATGGGATATGATTAAACTAATCAGTGGTAAAACATTCAAAACAATGGAACATTTGAAAATTAATGGAAAATTAGCCACATCAAAATTTGATATTGCAAATGTTTTAGAATCTGTTTTTTTCCAAACATTCCTCTGCAAATAACCATTTTAAAAAAAAAATAAAAAATAAGAAAAAAAATAAAGTGAAAGTCTCTTCCGAAATCAATGGAACTTACTCTCAAACTTTCTCAATACTAGAACTTCGAGAATCGTTGAAAAAAAAACCTACCACTCTGCAACAAGATGTTATTAATCATCAGCTCCTAAAACATCTACCGTCATTAGAAAAATTTCTTGATATTTTTTATCATATATTTTCAGATCGGATAATATTCCAAAGTCATGCAAATGGCAAATGTGATTCCTATTCCAAAACAAGGTAAAGACATAACAGATCTCTCCAGTATCACCCAATATCACTCATGAGTTGCGTTTGTAAAAGTCTAGAGCGAATGATAGATTCAAGATTAATTTGGTATTTGGAATTCAATCGCATAATAACACCCCTACAGAGCAGTTTTTGATATAAGCGAGCTGCCAACGATCAATTGGTTAGACATTAAACCTTTGTGCATGAAGTTTTTCTAAAGAAGGAACAATTAATTGCTGTTTTCTTCGATTTGGAAAAGGCTTACGACACAACATGAAAATACGGCATAATGAAAGATCTGCACGATATAGGCATTAGAGGTAATCTACCAAATTGTATTTCAATTTTTTTATCAGAGTGTTTTAAGTCAGGAATGGAATGACACTTTCCGATGTTCATCAGCAGGAAATGGGTGTACCAAGGCATTATTCTTTCGGTTACACTTTTGGATTTTAAAGTAACAGTATTGTCAAAATATTATCAACTTCAATGGAGGGCGCTGTTTATGTCAATGACTTCATTATATGCTATCGATCTAGGCATATGATTACCATCGAAAGACAACTACAACCATGTCTGAAACGACTACAAATTAATATTCCATATTCAGAAAAGTGTGCATTCATTTTGAAAAAAAAATGGCACAAATATTCTGCAACTTTTTCAGATGTGTGAACAAAATTTCACACCACGGTAATTGTTTAAAGACTGATCAACATTATACCGAACGGAAGATGCAGAGAGTTGTTAAGATATACTTTTCGCCGGGAAATAGGGATAAGGAGATTACAGTTTGAAGGGAAGACCAACCAGTATTTATGGCAAATATCATACACGGCATATATACCAGAATTGAAGAGAGATGTAATTTTATAATCTTAGGGATTGTAAAACTGAATAATAAGTCATAATAATTCAGCACAGTAGGTACTCTATAAACATGATGACTGACTTACCTATACATTTGATACTGCACACGATCCGTCGACCAGAAAGACTTTACCTATTATACTAGTAAAGGCAGACCTATGCTTCTTGGATAAAATACCATAGCCTCACAGCTATAGCAAATGAAATTTACCGAGTTATGAGTTATTTTGTCATTATTTGTATGGGAAAGGAAGCTTTCTGATTTGTCGGTTTTCTTGATAATAAAGAAAACCATCTAATTCCACCTTCTTGATAACGATTGGAGGATTCAACGACAACATGCCACCTGAGAGAAAAC